AAGAGGGAAAACCAAGTTATGAGATCCTGATAACACTTCATATTTTGCCAGTTCATCCCTTGTTTGAAGCCAGTTCATCCCTTCTGAAACATGCATTCTGGTCTCAACCCATTCTCAAATATCCATCATTTCAAACTATCATTTGTGCCTCTACGACTACTGCCACTTTATTAAAGTAGTCAATGTATATGCTTAGGATTTCTTTCCTACATTAAGTGACCTCAATTAGTACAACCATTGTCATGGGTTACCGCTTTTTAGCAGTGAATTGGGCTGTGAAAGCTTTACAAAGGTCTTTGCAAGAATCTATGCTCCCATCTAGGAAGGTGTTAAACCATGTCATTGTAAATACAATCAATGTTAGTGCAAAGAACATGTGTTTTCCTACATCTAGATGCGATGATAGTCTAGTTGGTTGCCTACATATTCAACGTGTTAATTTGGGTCTCTGGTTGCATCTTTGCTTTGTAATTTAAAAGGCTATTATGGCTTGCGTTGAAGGAAAAATTGAGTGGCCTTAAAGTTACCATTATTGATGAATATAAGGATGAATTTGTTAGAGATTGAAGAAGATCAAGAAACTTCAAGGATGAAGATCAAGAACGAAGATTTGAACCTTTTACAAAATGAGGTTTAGATCTTTGGATTAGAGGAGATATGAATATGGAAATACGCGAGTGTCAAATTTCAGTTTCTATAGACGATGCCTTTGTTCCATTTGGGAACCAGAGTTGTTTGATGATACGACCGGGGAGGGGGCGTTTCTCTATGGTGAACTTGAGTTTTTGATACGACGGAGAGGGGACTGACTATAATGGTTATAACTTTAACGCTCAGATCAGTGAGAGAATGAAAAGTGATATGAGAGTGTGAACAAATTTGAAAACATGAGAATAACATGTTTTTTTTTGTCTTATATAGTGGGAGAGCTTTAAATCGAACACAAAGAGTGCAATGTGCATTGCAACGAGTTGTTCGATTGATCTAGACCATTGATGATACTTCATAGACAAAATTGTCTATCCTAAGTGAGAATAAAAAAAACATTTGTTTCTCGCATGCACTTCTGTTGTGAATCTTGTTATGAATTACGACAAAATTAAATATCAATTTGTGAGACAAAAAATAATAGCAACCAAAATAAATGGTCTTCAACAATAATAATCTGTACACATATAATATAACAGAATAAGGTGAGAAAAACCGAAAGGTTTTTTATCCAATTCGATCAAACGATCTACTCTAGGGTAGATAACAGCTCTCCAATTCACTATACTCAGAAAGTTGTTACAAGAGATTAAAGATGAGTTACAAGAAAATAGCCTTCGCCTTCAAGTTTCCAAGAACAACCCTGAAGGCGCCCAAGAAGAACCCTGAAGGCGCCCAAGATCAACCTTATTTTCTACCCAAGTGTTTCCCTACCTCTCTAGCTCTCAATATATAAACCACTCAAACCCAAGGTATAATCCAAGGTTTTCTTTGTGCATAGCTGAAACTCTATGTTATACCTTTAAACCATTGGTCTCCTTTGTTGGTGAAAACTCTAAGATTACCACACACCAAGCATATAAGAGATACATATTTATAATAGCAAATACCCAACAAACAAAGCCCAAAAGCACATGTATTCATGGACCGAGTAAAAAAGAAGCCCAAAAATGCTAAACGCTATTCATCAGTACGGGCGATACTTTTCATCCGTACAGACAGTACTATTCACCATACGGATAAAACTATTCACCGAGCAATTTTTTTTCCAGACTTTTCGATCGATTTTCTCGGTAAATGCAATCTCCAAAATATATTTTCTTTCTCTTCATCAATAAAGGTTTTAAGGCACATTTACAACAATCTCCACCTTGACTTTAAACCGTGTTGATACCAATCAACAACATTGCTGCTCTCTACCAAGTTGAAACTTTAATCAATAACTTTGATCAAATTCAAGCAACCCTTGAATCTTGATCTCGCAGCTTGCATCCACTTGTTCCCAATTACCCTTTTTTTACTAGGTAATTTAACAAGCCTACAAGTATGAATTTTCAACCACCCTTAACTCCACTTGTTTTCAAATGCCTCTCCGAAGGTTTTTATTCTTTTATTTTGCAGTCCTTCAGCCACATTAAAAACATAATATTCAAGGCTAGCATAACCGTCCCTTTGAGACGCTACAATAACCTTCCTTACCTTATCATGAGTCAAATGACAATCAAAGATCTCTGTAACCGTTCCCTCACTACTGCTAGCATCCATAGTAGGAAACTCTACCTCAAACTGAGTTTTCTTTGTTATAGTTTCTCCAAGGTTTCTCCCTTGGTTTTCACTATTCTTCTTCTGAAGAAATTCTCTACCAACCAAGTAAGTTGTTTTAACCTCAACTCTTCCCCAAAAACTCAATATCGACTCAGCAGTAACATGCATTTTTATCCCTTAATTTCTGCAAAATTCATTGTACTCCTCTGAAACTTTCTCAAGGCATTCATAACATCTTAAACTCAAATCCCATAGTTCTTCCTTGTCATGAAAGCCTCCACTAGTTAACGATGAATGAATAATAACATTTGAACTTTCTAAAATATATAGTCCACATATTTTAGACCCTTTAGTAATAATCAATCCATCACACAAAATCTTCAACACTCAACGTTCAACTCTAGTACAATAGCCTAGATCATCAAACATACTTATATATAACAAATTTCGCTTGAGATTTGGAACATACCTTACATTGTGAATAAGAAGTTCACGATCATTAAACATTTTAAATCTGACTGTACCAATACCATGAACCTTGCATGCCTTATTATTTCTAAGGCGAACTACTCCACTTTGCACCATCTTCAAAGTTTCAAAGTACTCTATTCTTGGACACATGTGATAAAAGCAATATGAGTCAATGACCCAACTATCTTCAGTTTCCAAACTCGATACTACTAGTGCTTCGGCATCCTCATAGTTTTCCTCACCCAATGCAACTACAATTTGAACAAAATCTTCATTGACCTTTCTTTCAGGACAATCACTTTTAAAGTGACCGATTTTCTGACAATTAAAACATTTTACCTTTGACTTGTCAGACCTCTTTGATTTCGACATTCCTTTATGCTCACCTCCTCCTCTTGACACATTTAAGCCTTCGCCACTATCTTCAATCTTCAAATCTTTCGACTTTGAAAATTATTTAGATTTCACCGTCGTCTGGACTTCAACCAAACTAATAGTACCTTCCTTACCATAAAGAAGGGCATCCTTAAAGTGCTCAAAGGATTTGGGTAATGAACGTAACATGACCAAAGCCTTGTCCTCATCATCAATCTTCACTTCAATATTCTCATGATCATCGATAATCTTATGAAATTCTGTGAGCTGCTCAACTATGGATTTTTTCTCCACCATTCAGAATGAATAGAGTTGTTGTTTCAGATACAACCAGTGAGCCAAAGACTTTGTCATCTACAATGACTCAAGTTTTGCCCACATAACAACCGCAATTTGCTCCCTGGTGACTTCTCTTAGAACTTTATCTCTGAGGCACAAGATAATAGCATTCCTTGCCTTATCCACCATCTCGGTCTTTTGTACCTGTGTAAGCCCTGCAGACATCAATGCTCCACTCTTCAAAGCATCAATACACTTCTCTTGAATTAAAATTGCTTGCATCTTAATTTTCTACAACCCGAAGTCATTGTTACCGAAAAATTTCTCAATCTGCCATCTACTAACCATGGTGCTCACTTGTCAACAATATCTCTTTGCTCCATGCTCACCGCACCACTTGTTGTGAATCTTGTTGTGAATTACGACAAAACTCAATATCAATTTGTGAGGCAAAGAACAATAGCAACCAAAATAAATGGTCTTCAGCAATAATAATCCATAAATAGATAATATAACAGCATAAAGCGAGAAAAACTGAATGTTTGTTTACCCAGTTTGATCAAACGATCTACTTTGGGGGAGAGAGCAACTCTCCAATTCACTATATTCAGAAAGTTGTTACAAGAGATTACAGATGAGTTACAAGAAAATAACCTTCGCCTTCAGGTTCCCAAGAACAACCCTGAAGGCGCCCAAGAACAAGCCTTAAGGTGTCTGAGAACAACCCTATTTTCTACCCAATTGTTTCCCTACCTCTCCAACTCTCAATATATGAATCACTCAAACCCAAGGTGTAATCCAAGGTTTTCTTTGTGCATAGCTGAAACCCTATGTTATACCTTTAAACCATTGGTCTCCCTTGTTGGTGCAAACTCTAAGATTGTCACACACTAAGCATATAAGAGATACATATTTATAATGACAAATACCTAACAAACAAAGCTCAAAATCACATGGATTCATGGACCGAATCGAAAAAAGTCCGAAAACTCGAAAATACTATTCATCTGTACGGACGTCACTATCCCTTCATCAGTACAGACAATACTATTCACCGTACGAATAACAATATTCACCGAACAATTTTTTTTTCTCGACTTTTTAAAACTTCCAATTTTTGCATTAAATGCAATTTCAAAAATATATATTTTTTTCTTTATCAACAAAGATTTTAAGACACATTTACAACGATTTTCTTACTTCAAATTTGAATCTTTCTTCTCCGCCTTGTGAGCTACTCATATCAAATTATATACTTACATAAACTTTGAATGAAATACTAATGATGGTTAAATTTAAAATACCTTTTGTATACAAATTAATAATTGCTTCAAAAATAATAAAAAATAAAGAATAAAGATAACTTTATTTTCGCTTATAACACATATATACCGTAGACTTGTTACACATTAGTCATCACAAAATCCTCTTTTTCTTGCAAATTTTTTCAAAACTTTGCATTTTCCATTTAAACTTCAAAACCAAAACTTTTCAAAACTTTGCATTTTCCATTCAATCTCCAAAAACAAAAGAAAACAAAAAAACCCCTCATCACTCTTCACTACATCCCTATATTAAACTAACTCCCCATTACCCATTCCAGTATCCATTCTCTCTCCATCATGGCACCAAAGTTTTCACTCATTCTCTGCATTTTCACCATCTGGGCCATTCATTTCACCAACGCAGCTTCATCAGCACACCACGCTCCATCACCCTCTGTCGATTGTTCAACCCTTGTTCTAAGCATGGCTGATTGTTTGTCATTTGTGACAAATGACAGTACCATAACCAAACCAGAAGGAACATGCTGTTCTGGCTTGAAAACTGTCTTGAAAACTGCTCCTTCTTGTCTATGTGAAGCTTTCAAAAGTAGTGCTCAGTTTGGTGTTGTTTTGAATGTTTCAAAGGCGCTGACTCTTCCTTCTGCTTGCAAAGTCTCTGCTCCTTCTCTCTCTAACTGTGGATGTGAGTTCTTCTTTTTGGGTTTTCTCTCATTTTTCATTCCTTTCTTGAATTTTCTGCATAACCCAGATAAGGGTATTTATATTTTACCATAAAGTTTGTTTTTTTAAACTTTATGTTTAAGAAAAGTTTCTGTTTTTCTTAATCCTAGGTTTGTGTTTTTATTTATTTTTCTGTATAACTCAGATTAAGGTTGTTTTTTTTTACCTTCAAGTTTGTTTTTTATTTTTATATTTGTTATGTTGAAGAAAAGTTTTTTTTTTTTAAAATTTTTTTTTTTAAATTTAATGTTAGGTTTGTGACATGATATTAATGAAACATTGTTGTTTTTTTGCAGTGTCTGTTACCCCTGCTGCTGCTCCTGGTATGTTTCCTTATGTAACACATTTTGAAGCTTTATGCAATTTATAAATATATGGTTTTGAAGTTTTGTCTTGATTTATTTCCAAATTGAAGATAGGGTTTTATGTGTTTGATTGATATGAATATAATCTCAAAATATTGAGTAAAGTATCCAATTTTTTTGTTTTTGTTTCTTATGTTGCTAGCGCTTAACAATTTATATTTTCATGTCTCATATACTTCAATTATTATTATTATCAAACATGTGATGTTTTTCATATAATTGGTGTCTCTAATTTGAATCATCATGGTGCAAAATCCAATTTGTAGGTGTAAGTGTCTCTCCAGCATCTTCTCCTACTGCTGCTGAAGCACCAGGTGTGGCCACTCCTGTGCTTCCATCTAGAGTACCGGCAGCCGCGCCGGCCGTCAAGAGCGCGGCAGCATCAGCATTGCTCCCTATTTCAGCAGGGTCCATTCTTGTTTGTCTCTTATCTCTATTCTCAAGCATTTGAGGAGCCATGTTTAGTTTCATTTTGAGAGTAGGAAGGTTATGACATGAGGGATTATTTGAGTTTTGAATTTTTGTTTAGTATTGTTACCATTAGAGCTATTTTCATTGTGTGTGTAACTTGAACCTATTCATGTATATTTATTTATTTATGAGTAGTGAATTTTGCATTTTTTTTATTTTAATTTTATGTTGGATTGTTGATAGTGATGTATTGTTATGGGTGTGAATGTGATCCATTTGAGTTGTTATTGACAAGTACATGTGTGAAGAGACACAAAGGAATGACATGTTACACTGGTTGAGATTTTATCTAGTAAGATGTCCCACATGTTTTTTTGTGGTTCATTCTTCTAAAGCATAAAAGCATTAATTTTTCGGTGCGTCAGTGAAGATGACATGATTACATGCGAAACTGATCATATGGTGAGGTATTTGTTGGCCACAAGTAATGTGTTGTATAACTAGAAATGGACTACTTTGGAGATAAACTTTATGGGGCTGAGTGTTTCCTATTTTTTATATTCTTTTGTTTAGTAAAAGGAGGCTAGTTTCAAACACACAAGAATACGATAGAAAATTTAAAATCTTTAAGAAAGACCATAGGAGCTTCGAATAGCCACAAGCAAAACCAAATTAACAATATTAAGGATAATTAATCTTGCGAAGACAGATGATAGTAAAGTATCTCTTTGACACTTAGTCAGCGACGATATAAAATAATAAATATTTAGAGTTTAAAAAAGTGTGTATTTAATTGTTTTATTAAGTTTGTTTAATGAATAATGTATTATTATGTTGGTTCAATGATAGTGTCATGTTTTCACATTTTTATTGAATAATGTTTCAATATTCAACCGGTTAAAAACGCAACCAATGACCAATATTTATAGACACAACTGTAATATAACTTGAAATTATAAGTCATTCCAACTTTCATTAACAGATTCAAAGTTTGATACATAACAAGTTAAATAACAAAAGATCATTATAAGGCATTACATAACAGGTTCAATCACAAAAGGCCATTATAAGGCATTACATAACAAGTTCAATTACAAAAGGCCATTATAGGACAAAATGTGCCTTACATAATGACATTTTAAAATGTGCATTAACAAAAAAAAAAGAGTCAAGCCATTAAATAAGATTACAAAATCTTAGCAGCCATAATAATAATGATCAAGGTTGCTTTGAAACAGGCTTGCCACCCTTATGAAGTTTTTTTTTTATAGTTTTGGGTGGTGGATAACTTGTAACAACAGGTGGTGGATAACTTGTAACAATAGGTGGTGGTGGTTGACTTGTACCAGCTTGTGGTGGTGGTTGACTTGTAACAACAGGTGGTGATGGCTGACTTGTAACAATTGTGGTGGTGGCTGACTTGTTCTATCTTGTACCTCACTTGAATCAACTTGTGATGGTGGTTGACTTGTTGCTTCTTGTACCTGACTTGGAGGAGCTTGTGGTTGTGATAGTTTACAAGTGGCCTTGTTGTGACCATCCTTATGACAACGACTACACTTGATACCATGTCTTGCCCTCTTCATGTGTGTCTCATCCCTCACCATCTCTCCAGCTTCACTATTCCTTTTTTTCTTTGGCCTTCCAGGCTGCCTCTTTAGTGGGGTTGCTGAAGATCAACAATACTAGTCATTGCCCACAAGGCTTCCCCATTAAGTGGATATATAAAATTTGCATAACAAACAACATATTATTCCTTCTTGTGACATTCAGGTAAAAGTCATTAATCTCTAAATGTTGATCCTTCATGCAAGACATTGCATGGCAACAAGGAAGTCCAGTCAGCATCCATAGTCTACATGAACATTATTTCTTGTAAAGGTTGACAACATATTTTTCTCCATTGAGTGAAGTATGCCTCACCTCATAGTCATATTCACCTGCTCGCCTGTAAACAAGTAACCATTTTAATGTTAGTCTATGTAAACAGTCAGCCATTTGAAAGTAATATTCAACAAATTAACCATGTTACCTCACAATCCAATGATTGGTTTTCTTTGACTCCCTTTCCATCCTCTTCTTGATGTTAGGTAGTACGATACTATCATATTTGGTAATCTTTTGCCTATTGGATTCCCATCTCTGCATTAGATATACTCTAATTTCTTCCAGCATTGTCATAATGGGCTTGTTGTTAACCAAAGTGTCACAACCTGAACTTGGCTGGAACCTTGATTTGCTCCAGATTCTTGGTGGAATTTTGATGAGATGTTTGAAGGCCTCTTCATTAACTCTTTTGATTTCAAGCATTATTTTCTCTCAAGCATTAACATAACTTGCACATGCAGCCCTCCACATCAATTCCTTTAATTTTAGGCCATTGAACTTTTTCCTAAAGTTGATATACAAGTGTCTGCAATATAAAATAAGTGTAAACCAACTATCTCATGCCATTAATTAAAAAAAACTAAGTATGTCATATTCAACATGTAAGTAAACATAATACCTAACACAAAATCTCTGGTCAACATTACCAATTAATTCATCAAGAGCTGGAAGTAAACCCTGCATCCGTAAATAAGTAAGAATCATGGTGAAAATAAAACAATTGGCTAACAGTTAAATTTCAAGTTGAGAGTTTAATACCTTTTGTTGATCACTAATGAAGGTGTAGGTTCTGCACAACCTGACTCCTCCCAAATCAGATATCAATAACTCTAGAAACTAGCTCCATGAGTCTTTAGTTTCACCCTCAACAACAACATATGCAATTGGTAGCATTTGATCATTTGGGTCCCTCCCAATAGCAGTTAGTATTTGTCCTCCATAGCATCCCTTTAAGAAAAAATCATCTAGTCCTATAATAGGCATGCACTTAAAAAAATTGTCCTTGCAAGCTTTGAGACATATATACATCCTCTGAAAGTAAGGATTCAAAGAGTTTTCACTACTTTCCCCTTAAATTGGTTGACTTGTAATCTTCACAGTTGATCTTGGGTTTGCCCTCAAGAGTTCATGGCCATAATTATGGATTCTCCTATACTGCTCTCTAAAAGAACCATCCACAATATCAACAACTAGTGTCTTTGCTCTATATGCCAATGTTTTGTTAATCCTAACATTCCACTTTTCATGTGTCTTCTCAATAATATCAATCAACTTCAAAGCTGGATTCTATCTAACACTTGTTTGAATCTTCTTGCCCAACCATTTCGAATTGAGGAACCTAATCTTATAATCCCTACTACATGTATGCTTGTCCATAATTGTCCTCAATTGCCAATTCTCCTCACCTTTAATATTCGCACAATAAGCCTCCCATGGGCAACCTGCCTTACATTTTACCCGCATCCTTACTTTATCATTTTTTGTAAATTTCAAGTTCCTTCCTGAATGAATGGCATATTTTCTTATTGCCTCATGAAACACCCCTGTCATACCCTAATTTTTAACCCTAAGATACCCACATCATTTGCATCTCATACATACACTTTTGTGCATCACTAACCCATTTTAGAAAGTCAAGATTGTCGTTTGCTTCATTATGATCATCAATTAGGGTTTTTAAGCCCTATAGAGGATTCAGGCAAATGATCAATCAAGAATTGACATGATATTTAACTTATCAAGTCCCTAAATCACCCATGGAGATAAAAATATCCAATTCACCAAGAATCAAGGACAATATTACATCATTTCAAGTTGGTCAAGCCTCAAGATCATCTGTGTCACCAAATCAGGGTTTTGACCTAATTCAATCCCTAGAATGACTTGTGGAGCAAGGCATGATCCAAGACCTCAATATATGTTTCAAGGACCTTAAATACATCATATTAGTCCATTCACATGATTGGATTGATCCAAAGAACTTGGTTCATAAACAATGTAAGAATTCAAATCCATCTGAGCCACAAACTAGGGTTTTGATGAAAAATGTCAACCCTATCTTTGACTTTTAGCCAAGACATGATCTCCAACTTTGGGATATTATTCAAGATACTCAAATATACCCTTGAAGTCCATTTATAAGTTTACAATCACCTTGGGGTACTCATTCACTAAAAATCAGGAATTTGGGTTTCCTTGCATAAAATCCATCTAATACACAAAGTCAAAGTTTAGAAGGCCATAACTTGTGATCCAAGCAACCCTTTTTTGCATTCCAAAGCTCAAATGATAGATCTTATTTCATACTATAAGATTTCTAGGCTGAACCATATCCAAAAACTTCATGGATTTCAAGTTATGAAGTGATAAAAAAAATGAACTTCAACACTTAGGCAAATTCTGCCTAAGGTAAAATCAGTCAAAACGTCAAAATGTGGAGGGATTTTTCACCATGATCCAAGAATCAATGCAAACTATGAACACCAAAGTTGAAGTACATCATCCCAACTTTCCAAAGAGCCCAAGAGCATGAGAAACTCCACTTGAGCAGAGAGCTATGAAGGTTGCAAGACACCTTGCTACAACTGTTTTGCAAGACAATTTTGGCCATTTCTTGCTAGACAAAATTTTAGAGTCTAATGCAATGATCACCATGCCAAGCCAATTCAATGAGAATTTGATGAATCACAAAAAACCTGCAAAGTTAGGCCAAAGATTCAAGAGATATCTCAAATTAAATGATGTATTTTGTCACCTTATGCCTTGAATTCAAATGGCATTTATGTGCAATAGTGCATATTCAACTATTCCACTCTCCTCAGTCAAGATATCTACATACACAATAATAAAAACTTTCGAGGATTGTGGAATTGGTCAATTAGTAGCTGAGCTATTTGGAAGCATTGATGTACCTTGCATTAGGGGTAATTGTACACTTGCCAAAGCCATTGAATCAAAGTCAATCTTCAAGACAACACTATTCCTCCCAAAACAAACTTATTCTCCTATAAATAAGGATCATTTTGATCATCTCAAACATACAAAAACAACATTAGACCTTGTTTTCTCACTTTTCCTCTTTTTGTTCAAAGTTCCAAAATTCCAAAGTGAGAAATCAAATTTCTTATTTCAAAGCATCTCTGTCCAAACCAATGATTCAAACACCTCACATACATCATATGTAAGTGACCTAAACACTTAAAAATCATCTAGAACATCAAATTCATGAAGACCCTAGTTCATCCCAAAACAAATTTATATGACATGACAAAACGATATGTTTTTATTGGATGACCGTGTAAATTTTTTTCACATCGTCAGTGAATCTTATTTAATCTATTAAATTTAATTTTAGGTTTGTGACATGATATTAATGAAACATTGTTGTTTTTTTGTAGTGTCGGTTACCCCTGCTGCTGCTCTTGGTATGTTTCCATATGTAACACATTTTGAAGCTTTACGAAATTTACTAATATATGGTTTTGAAGTTTTGTCTTGATTTATTTCCAAATTGAAGATAGGGTTATATGTGTTTGATTGATATGAATATAATCTCAAAATATTGAGTAAAGTATCCAATTTTTTTGTTCTTGTTTCTTATGATGCTAGTTGTTAAAAAATATTTAGAGTTTAAAAAAGTACCTCTTTGACACTTAAGTCAACGACGATATAAAATATCAAACAAACAATATTAAGGATAAATAATCTTGCGAAGACAAATGATAGTAAAGTACCTCTTTGACACTTAAGTCAGCGACGATATAAAATAAAAAATATTTAGAGTTTTAAAAAGTGTGTATTTAATTGTTTTTGTATATTAATATGAATTTAGAATTTTAAGAATCTAAAACCTATTGCAACGAAAAATATAAAATGTAAAATATGTTCATCTTACTTTACGTGGTGTTAAGTAGATAATTGCTCTAAAAAAGGCAGTCATCGCCTTGACATTGTTGTGGTGGCACCTGACATCTTCTTAATCTTATTGTTTATATATGACTATGCGGTGAGCTAAATTGCAGTTAATTTGATCTTAGAATTGGGTCAGAACAGTAGTCCCAAGTTAGATTTGGTGAAGTCGAGTCGTTATATGTTTTTGTGATTTTTGAGGGTTGGTCTAATGAGGTACATATTCTATATGTGTTTCCTTATGGGATGTTTTTAATTTTCATAGGATTGATTATATTGGTTGCTCAAGCGTTGTATGGAGTTGATTGGTTCATGTTTTAATGTCAGTAATAATGTCTTTACACTACTACAAATAATATATTTTATGATAAAACTTTCACTTCAACCACCAAATAATTGAAGTATATCTTTTGGGTGCGTCATGTTTAATTGTCTTTTAAATGATTTATTTCTTTGATTTTTGAGCAAATCGAGGGAATAGATGTATCAAGGTTCATGCTTCAATTCCTAATTACTGTCTTATCTGTTTTTCTTTTTTCAATTGGCTTAGGGATCAAGATTTACGATATTTCGGTTGACGCCTTTTCTTTTATTTATTTATTTATTTTAAATTACCAAATTAATCTTTGTTGGATGTGTTTACCGTGTTTTTTGGTAAACAACCTCTGGTCTATCAATTTGGTGTCAAATTGACTAACTTGCAGGATTGACCATACGAAATCCTAGGATATGTGCTAAAGGGTATTTCTATTTGAACTTATCTAAAAAAAATGTGTTTCGACAATACCAAGAAGAAGTAATTTAAAAGGGGCAGAACTATCCACTATGTTTAGAAGAGGGAAGGAAGAAGAATTACAAGAAGGAAAAGAGATAAATGTTTTTTGGGAGAGAAAGACTTAGTCAAAGTAGTAATAGTGAACAAAAGGAAAGACGAAATAAATATGTAAAAGTACTTGACAAAAGTAAAGAAAACAAAGTAACTTCATTGAAAAAAATAAAGGATGGTGTGTTTACATCACGTACATTGTCTATAATAATCTCTTTCTCTACACTCGGATACTTGTAGTAATTTTAAGAGTGACTTGTACAACAGTAAATTACAACACACTTAAGTTTATGTCTAAGACTCCTATTTATAATAATAATAGTAACTGCTAATAACCTCCTTAGGCCATCTATGTCTGACAAGTGTCACACCGCATGCAGTCCTTCGTCCGATGAGCGCCGCTTGTCCTTCTTAGTCATAAGAGAATATAACTACTCCCTCCAATATTCAAATTTCAAAACTCAATTCGTCCCCACTTCCAAATTTCGGTCGAAGGCCAATTTCGCTACTTAGGTCGAAATGTCTAGTTCCAAGACTCAAATTTTCCTAAGTCCTTGGA